GTGTAACGTCACGTGACACAATGTCATAATTTCGGCCGAATTTTAATTTTGGCCAAAATTAAGACCGAGTTTCGGCCTAATTTCGGCATTTTCGGCATTTGATTTGATTGGCCGAAACCTTTCAGAATTTCCTTTTTAGTTTCGGCAGGCAACCTTAAAAGTAACTAATTCGTATTTTTATGTTTTAACCATGCTTTTAAGCACATCGATTTTCTAATCGTTTCCGGATTTAAACTACATCATCTTTGAGTTATCAAATCCGTTTCACCAGAGAATACTCTATCAACTGGTACACTTGTTCCTATTTGAAATTACAAAATTAATATAAAATAATTAAATTTAACCAATTAAAAATAAAATATATACCAGGAATTGCTAAAAAATCCCGGGCCATTTTGGATAAATTTGGAAATTTATTTTCGTGAACCTAATAAAAGAAATTTAACATTTTAATAAAAATTTCTTATACGCAATACCATTTATTTAAGATTTTACCATTGCTAAACTTAACCGTGGTTATTACAACCACCCTGGTTATTTCACCATCTTTCATGGTTTTATAACCATATATACGTGGTTAAAACACCACTCTACTGTATGTCATGTGATCTATGAAATTTGTATTACGTTCGACGATAAACTCGTTAGTAAATTTTATTTCTTTATTATACTGATATTAATTATTATCACTAGTTTATTACTACATTATTTATATTAATATTATTACAACAGAATCTCTACACTATAATAAAAATCTATGCATTATTACCACAATTCTTTCGATAATGACCTAATTTCCCACAATTTTTACATTTTCGCTGTCCACGACTAAGATTTACTTCAGCTGCAGCTGCACTTGTTTCTGCATTTTGTTCATCGTTATGACTTACATTTGTAATTTCTTTAAAAGGTCTTTTATTTCTAGCAATTTCCACTGCACTCTTCAATCTTTTAGGTGGACGTCCACGAACATTGTATACAATTGGATTTGGAATATGATTAGGATCATTTTGATATGTTCCATTAGTTTGCTGAGTATTAAGATGAATATGAGAAGACATAAATCTATTACACAACCCAACTAATTCATCAACAGAATCTGTCTTAATTGCTAAATTTAATGCTTTTGTTACACATTCATGTCCCTCAATAAACTGTTGCTTTTGTTTTGATAATTTTTTTACCGGCTCTGTATCAATGACTTTTCCTCTTAATATACTTAAAATTTGACACTTTGGTGTTAATGGATTATCAATATAAGATTCTTCCTGAACAATACTAATAGATCTTGTTATTGAAGTATCTATTGTTGAA